CAGGGGAGAGCCCCATGAGCTGAAAACAGCTTTACTCAGCTGCACCTGTGCTCTGACCTGAGGTTGGCCTGCTTCAGGAGAGGGCTTCTGGGTGTCCAGCAGCTGGGTGACAGTGGGATGGGGGCAGGGCCTGGGGTAGGGAGGGAGCTCTCCAGCTATCTTTATATAGCTTTCATTCTGAAGCCATTGTGCAAACGGCCTCATCTGGGTGAAGTCCCTGGGGGAACCTGGGGTTTATCACAAGTGTTGGGCACCATCAGCTCATTCTTCAGATGGCAGCTAATACAGAGGAAGCAGGCTTGGGTCATACTGGCTCCTTGCCTGATCTGTGTCCACTTGAGATGGGTGGCATCTGCAGTCTTCAGAGCCACAAGCTACACGGCTGTCCTCTGACTGGCACCCACATGTAAGGGATGTGGGCTGTAGGCCTGTTGACTCCGGATTAATGAAGGGAGGTTGAGTCTGTGAGCCACTAGCCCAGGGTGTGCATCCTCAGAGTGCCCACCCATTGGGATGGAATCACACCGCATTGAGGACAACCAGATCCGTGCCTCCTCCATGCTGCGCCACGGCCTGGGAGCTCAGCGGGGCCGGCTCAACATGCAGGTGGGTGAGTGGACTGTCCACCCTGCTGTGGGTGAGGGCTCCCCTGCCTATGCTCAGCCTCCCTGTTAACAGGCTGGTGCTAATGAAGATGACTACTATGATGGGGCGTGGTGTGCTGAGGACGACTCCCAAACGCAGTGGATCGAGGTGGACACCAGAAGGACAACTCGGTTCACAGGCATCATTACGCAGGGCCGAGATTCCAGCATCCAGTATGTAAATGGGTGCTCAGGCAGTGGGTAGGGGCTCCTGCACAGCTCTGAGTCCCATTTGGGACATTCCAGAGAGCCCTTGACCTGAACTGGGAAGGCCAGAAAAATCAATGAGGGGCCAAGCATGTACCTGCCCCTCAGCCATGGCTAGTCAGTGTGCATGTTCAGACAGACAGACAGACAAATGTTGAGACAGCCACTGCCCATGGCCAGACACAGAATCTGGCTCCAGAGGTCCAGGCCATGCTCCACAGCCCTGCTGGCCCAGAAGTTGGTCTCAAGGCCTTGGAGCCTTGAATGAGAGCAGCTTTGCCTACTGTTTCTGCTCCACAGTGACGACTTTGTGACTACCTTCTTCGTGGGCTTCAGCAATGACAGCCAGACCTGGGTGATGTATACCAATGGCTATGAGGAAATGGTGGGTGCTCAAATCTTCCGCTTTGCTCTCATTGTCTGGGATGCAGTGGGCTTTTGGGAGACCAGGGTACCACACAGAGGCCTGCTTCTCTCTAGACCTTCCATGGGAATGTGGACAAGGACACACCTGTGTTGAGTGAGCTCCCTGATCCAGTTGTAGCTCGTTTCATCCGAATCTATCCGCTCACCTGGAACGGTAGCCTGTGCATGCGCCTGGAGGTGCTAGGCTGCCCTGTGACGCGTGAGTGAAGAGGGGGCCTGGCTTTGGCTTTGGGTGGCTGCGTGTGATTCGGGTGTGGACCAAAGGGCAGCCGGTTCAGGCCCTGTATACCTGCTCTTCTGCAGCTGTCCACAGCTACTATGCACAGAATGAGGTGGTAATCACTGACAACCTGGACTTCCGCCACCACAGTTACAAGGACATGCGCCAGGTTAGGAGCCTGAGGTCACAGTCTGGGCTGGGCCCTGTGCTGGGGGACAAGAGAGCTTATACTCAGCCCTGTCCCTACTATTCCAAAGGCATACTCTCCCTTCAAGGGATGTTGGCCACCTCTTGCCTTAGGGAAGGAACTAGTACCTGGGGTCCTCCCATAGAACCCACCGGGGGAGCGGGAGGATGCTCAGTGACATAACGTCTCCTCCCTGCCAGCTGATGAAGGTGGTGAATGAGGAGTGCCCCACAATTACCCGCACATACAGCCTGGGCAAGAGTTCACGGGGGCTCAAGATCTATGCGATGGAGATCTCGGATAACCCTGGGGAGCACGAGCTGGGTGAGGGCCTGGGGACTTAGTTTTACCAATGCCTAGAGTTCCAGGGTCCCTGCACTGCCTCCCTCATGCTGGGCCTGTACGGTGGATATACAGCACTCGCCATCCTCTGCCTGACCTGCAGACTCCAGGGGACCCAGGCCTGCCTTGCTGAGCACCATAAGCATCAGCTGCCCCCAAACCTTCTGGGCACATCTGGGCCTTGCCAGGTTAAGTGGCTCCTGTCTTTGCAGGGGAGCCCGAGTTCCGCTACACAGCTGGGATCCACGGCAATGAGGTGCTAGGCAGAGAGCTCCTGTTACTTCTCATGCAGTACCTGTGCCGAGAGTACCGTGATGGGAACCCCAGAGTGCGCAGCCTGGTCCAGGACACGCGGATCCACCTGGTGCCGTCACTGAACCCTGATGGCTACGAGGTGGCCGCGCAGATGGTGGGTTGTGGGGCTAGCAAGGGGTGGCTAGCGACTGAAGGCACGGGTGGTCCTTCCCTGACTTCCAACTCCATAAGTCACCTATGTTTTCCTTGTAGGGCTCAGAGTTTGGCAACTGGGCACTGGGGTTGTGGAGTGAAGAGGGCTTTGACATCTTTGAGGACTTCCCAGACCTCAACTCTGTGCTCTGGGCAGCTGAGGAGAAGAAATGGGTTCCCTACAGGGTGCCCAACAATAACCTACCAATCCCTGAACGCTACCTGTCCCCAGATGCCACGGTGAGGAGCAAGTCTTGGCATGCTGAGTGGTGGCAGCTGGAGTGAGGGGAGGGTTGCTGACAGTGAGTTGAGGTGTTGGCATTGAGACCCCAGAGGGCAAGAGGAAGAATCTGAGGGACATAGATGTGGGAAGTATAGCACTAGTGTGGGGCTCCACAGATGGAAGGGGACATGGCTCCTTATGCCACATATCCCTAGGTATCCACAGAAGTCCGGGCCATCATTGCCTGGATGGAGAAGAACCCCTTCGTGCTGGGTGCAAATCTGAATGGTGGTGAGAGGTTTGTGTCTTACCCCTATGACATGGCTCGGACACCGAGCCAGGAGCAGCTGTTGGCAGCAGCAATGGCAGCTGCCCGTGGAGAAGATGATGAGGAGTCATCCGAAGCCCAGGAGACTCCAGATCATGCTATTTTCCGCTGGCTGGCTATTTCTTTTGCTTCTGCCCATCTCACCATGACTGAGCCCTACCGGGAAGGGTGCCAGGCCCAGGACTACACCAACGGCATGGGCATTGTCAATGGAGCCAAGTGGAATCCTCGGTCTGGGAGTAAGTCAGCTTGGGAAGAGCTTGGGGAAGGCATGTGACCTGGGGAGGGGATGACCACAGGTCTGTTTTTGTCTGTCTAGCTATCAATGACTTTAGCTACCTGCATACTAATTGCCTGGAGCTCTCTATTTACCTGGGCTGTGACAAGTTCCCTCATGAGAGTGAGCTGCCCCGTGAGTGGGAGAACAACAAGGAGGCGCTGCTTACCTTCATGGAGCAGGTGGGACAGCCTGGGCTACACAGGAGGGTGAAGCTTGGGAGGAGTATGGACATGGAATCTATGTGGGCCCACACCTCCTTTTTGCAGGTGCACCGTGGCATTAAGGGTGTGGTGACAGATGAGCAAGGCATTCCCATTGCCAATGCTACCATCTCGGTGAATGGCATCAACCATGGTGTTAAGACAGGTATTCTGCATGTACACACACCCTATTTTTTTTCTTTTTTTGAAGGGTCTTGACATGTACCTCTGTCTGGCCTAGCAATTCTGTATAGCCCCAGGCTGGCCTTGAATTCAGAGCCCTGCCTAGAGTACTGAGATTACAGAGCTAGTGTCATGAAACCTGGCCCATGTGTACATAGCTTTGCCTTCCCAGGTGGGACTCACCTTGCCCTTCCAAAGTAGTAACAAGGCAAGCCTGATTTGTATAGCAAGTCTCAGGTCCCTTAGAGCTTCCCAGAGATGTTGGGCCTGCCTAGGACTTGGGAGGGCAGCTACTGGGGAGATCTCTGAGGACTGGGCCTGGGGGAATCTGAATGGTCAGAGCTGGAGAGGCCCCCGGGACAGTCAGGCCTAACTTCTTTATATAGCAAGTGGAGGTGACTACTGGCGCATCCTCAACCCGGGTGAGTACCGTGTGACGGCCCATGCAGAGGGCTACACTTCAAGTGCCAAGACCTGCAACGTGGACTATGATATTGGGGCTACACAGTGCAACTTCATCCTGGCTCGCTCCAACTGGAAGCGCATTCGGGAGATCTTGGCTATGAATGGGAACCGGCCCATTCTCCGCATTGACCCCTCACGACCCATGACCCCCCAGCAGCGGCGCATGCAGCAGCGCCGTCTACAGTACCGGCTCCGGATGAGGGAACAAATGCGGCTTCGACGCCTCAATGCTACCACAGACCCTGTCACAAGCCCCACCCCTCCCCCCACTCCTCCTCCTTCCCCTACACCAGGCATTACCACGAGGCCCTGGGAAATTCCACCTACAACCACTACAGGCTGGGAGGAGTCAGAAACTGAGACCTACACAGAAATAGTGACAGAGTTTGGGACAGATTATGGGACTGAGCTTGAGGAGGAGGAAATGGAAGAGGAGGAGGAAGAGGAGACAGTCACAGGCCCCACATTTCCATTCACAACAGTGGAGACATACACAGTGAACTTCGGGGATTTCTGAAACTGGGATCCCAACATTCTGGCCCAATTCAAACTAAGACAGCACTTCCCAAGCCTGTGCTGGCTGCCACATAGCCATCAGAGGTTCCCCCCTCCCTGGTGTGGGACATCAAGGTCACCAGGACTCCAAAGCCAATCTCTGCAGAAGTTCCAGTCCCACCTGCCAGCCTTTGACGAGAGGCAGGCAAGGGAGCCACAGTCACACCAATAAAACAAGCTCATGGCACCAACTGTACTGTTCTGCCCAGGAGAAAAGGTTGGCTCACTGGGGGCTCTCCCTGTCAGTCCCATCCCAAACATGCCCAGATGCTCAAGGTTCAGACCTATAAAAAAATCATGTTTTATTTACAGGGGCTCACATGGCAAAGGTGAATGGCCCAGCTGCCTGTCATCAGGGACCCAGCCCCAGGTCTCCCAGGTCGTCATGTTCTGCTCCAAAGCCTGAAAAGCTGATAGGCTGGCAGGCCAGGCTGCGCAGGTTCACCAGGCAGGCAGTCTGTGTGGAACTAAAGTCAGGAACGGCCACCAACAGTACCACCTGGTCCTCAGGACCTGTAAGACAATCACAGGGGACCAGCTGGTTAGGTTCTGGGTAGGACCTGCCTTACAGGCAAGTCCCCAGAAATGGCAGCCACAGTTGGACCATGTGCTTAGATCCATCTCAGACCCTTGCCAGTCAGCTACACCACACACCATAACACAATGGTCACCGCACAGACAGTCTATCCTGTAGGGACCTTTGTACTCAGGTGAAGCAAAATTGTTCCTGATGACTCAGGCCTAGAGTCCCCCAAAGATAAAACTTACCTCGGATGATTTTGGAGCCAAAGCTGGGGGTGTTGCCACAGAAGTAGACATGGGGGCACTCCGGAAAGATGAACGGGTCGGTTTTGTAGAAGGGGTAACACCCTGGAGAAAGGCGTGCTGTTGAGCTGTCCCACTAAGGTGCCCCCCCCTCACTGAATGCAATAGCACCCAACTGACAAAAGTGCCTTGTGGTCACATGGCCCAGTGGTGCTAGGCACAGTATGCTTCTAGTCTGTAACTGTACAGGCCTTGGCTGTGGACAGAAGTATGATTCCACAGTGGCTTCCAGAACAGCTTCTCTGAATACAAGGCTGTGCTGGGAATGCCTCCCAAAGTGTAACCAAGCAGATACCTAGGGTGTCTGGAGCCGTGGGGCTGATGTGACGGACCCGCAGGGTCCACTCTAGGATCTCTAAGTGGTCTTCCATGCTGCTGTACCGGAAGATGTCACTCACGTTCTGTCCAGACGTCCCCAGGAATCTGAAAGGGAAAGGATCTTCTGACTATGGCTGGGGATGGGAAGGGGGAAGGCTATCACTGCCATCCCAGCCACAAAGACTACCTCAGATCCTACCCAATGGCCTCGTGGGGGTGCCCAAGCCAACCTTGCAGGGTAGACAATGCCAGGAGGGCAGTCCTGTCCCTCCCAGACTTCCTTTGTCCCCAGGTCACATGCCATGCTGACTACCTTACTCCATCGATGGTGGCTTGGTACGGGTTGGTGACCAGCTGCAGTGTGGAATAGGCAGTGGCCAGTGGGAACATGCAGGGGTGCAGTGGCTGCTGTGGGAGTGTATAGTTGGTTGGATCAAATTCACCTGGCATCACATCCACAGGTACTGAGGCCTGGAGGGCACAAGGCAGGGAGAGCTAGTAGGCCTCAAGAGGCCCCACCCCCTACTCCACCCACCCTACCTTCTCTTCCCCATCCAACAGCAGCTTCACCAGCTGGATCTCCATAGCCCTGCCAGTCCCCAAGCTGCTCACACTCAATTGCAGCAGGATCTCATCCAGCATTTTGACTGCTTCCACGCTGGCTGCCTGGGTTTTCTTGGTGAGGTACTTGGCCTAGGAGAAGAGACCCAGGATGTGGTTGGGCTCTCAGTGAGACTCTGAGAAAGCCAAAGGTCAGCAGGTATGTCTACTTGCTGAAGGGTAGATAGGGGCTGGTTGCACAGGCCCTGAACTGCACCCTGGCCCTCATACCTGTAGGGGGTGGGGCCTAATGAAGATAACCCTGGAGCAGGCCCAGTCATGTTAGCAGGCCAGGCAGAGAAGTTAGGCAGACTCCGTACCTTGTTGATAGAATCTCTGCTCTGGGTATTGTGGCTGAGGAGGTTGCCTGCAAGGATGACTCGAGAGACATGGGCAGCACTACACTGTTCTCCTTCGTCCCCAAGCTGTCCTGTCACCACATCCACCAGCAGCTGGGTGCCCAGGAGGCTCTCACCGCCACCTCCGCCCAGGCCCAGCCCGGATACCAGCAACACAAACCTGCAGAGAATGGTGAGGTCTTGCAGGTTGCTGGAAGGAGACGATTCTCCCAACAGAGACATTGGGGTGCCTGAGTGAGCTCCTCACCTGTCTGTGTCAAGTGGGGGTACAGGCTTCTGTGGAGCCAAATCAGCAAAGCAGTGGTCCTCAACCTGAAACCTGCCATCGTCTCTCACGGAGCCAAACACTGCCAAGACGGTTCCTGAGGGAAGGTGAAGTCAGAACCCCAAGGTAGCCTTTGGGGGTCTCCTACCTCCTGGCCACTCTGTCAGCCACTCCAGTGAAGCCTTGATTAACTATCTACTTCTCAGGCTCACTGCTCTTACATGGAGACAGGAAGATTTATCTCCCAGACGATTATCATGGACAAGCAGCCTCTGACCATGTAAACTTCCCAAAACTCTGGTGTAGCAGCCTTTAACACACAGGCTTCCCCATACACTCTTGCCAGGCCTCCCACAGCCACCCTCCTTTCAGGATCCCCACCTACCACTCGCTTGGGGTCCCACCTGTGACCAATTTCGACACATCGATGGTGCCTTTCAGTTTGATACGCTGCAATTCATCTTCTAAGACCAGCTCATCATCCGGGTGGATGTATTTGCTCCGAGGAGGCTGGGGGATCAGGTTGTGCTGGAAGGCAGACAGAAGAAGGCAGTCTCAGAGCCCAGGTCGCCACAGCTCCTGTGTTATGAAGTGGCACCACAATCTCTGCCTGCCTGGATTGGCTTCTTACTCCCTAGAGTCAGAGCCCAGCCTCAATCCACCGGGACAAGGCTGGCGCATCCAGGGTGGTAGGGCTCACCTCCTCGCTGATCTCCCGCAGGATGGAGGGCTGGAGTGGCATGGCTTTGAATAGTGTGCCCACCACACAGCACTGTTCCCCAGGCTGCAGCTCACACAACTTCTTCACTCCGACTCCACTGCCTGGGTGTGAGGGCACAAAGTCAGACTATGAAATCCCACCCTGAAGATACCCTCAGAGTACCCACAGGACACTTACTGGGGCTCATAGGAGTGCTGCTCTCCTGGCCTTTGCCAGGAGGGAGAGCATGTTAAGTTAAGGATCCCTGGACCTCAATGAATGGTGAAGGGGCCCACCAGAGGAGAAAGGGCCTGTGGGTGGAGGGGAACCTTGATGCCAAATATCTACAGAGGCAGGGAAGGCCATGTGAAGTCAAGGAAGAGACCAGAGTGCTACAGACACAATCCCAGGGACTCCCAGAGCCACCAGAAACTGGAAGGATCTACTCTAAAGCCTCTAGAAGGCACCAGTCCTGCTGAAAACCCAATTTCAGACTTTAAGCCTTTAGAACAATGGGAGAATAAATATATGTTGTCCTAAGTCCCCTGTTTACAACACTTCATTACCATGGCCACAAGAAGTAACTGTGAAACACATTACCTACGTCTCAGTCACATGCTACAACCCGACAATTACCATGTCCTAAGACTTCAGATTCTTTTGTTTTTTTCAAGATGGTGTCTCACTACATAGCCCTGGCTGTCCTCAAACTCACTCTGTAGACCAAGCTGGCCTCAAACTCAGAGACCCCCCCACCTGCTTCTGCTTGCCAAGTGCTGGGATTAAAGGTGTGCACCACTGTATCCAACTAAGACCTTGGATTCTTGTGTGTCAGCCCCTGCTCCACCCAATGCTTCATCCTCTGAAAATATACCTTACATTTCCCACTTGATGTCCCCTCCACCTCGGTCCATTTTATTCCCTGTGGAGTCAGCAGCCTTGCTCATTCAAAGCCCCCAGGAGGCAAACCAAAACACAAGTGAAGGTCCCTTATGCTCAGCAGGAAAGATGTGGAAAGCCAAGCTGGGTAGGAAGAAGGAATGCAAGTTCCAGAAAGTTCCAGGGATTCATCAGCACAGACCCAACCCTAGAACAAATTGCTGAGGAGGCAGGGTGAAGTGGAGGCTCGGCCAGAACCACACTCATGCCCCGGAACAGCCAAGAACATTCCTCAGAGCTCCACCCGGAGGAGCGGATTCCACAGAAGGAAGGGAACTCTAGCACCACACAGAAGTACCTGTGGCTCTGCTATGGCTTGGGTGTGGTCCATCCCTCAAAGACCAAGGCTTTTGGTGCCCAGCCTGCCATGGCCTGCTCTCTAGCTAGCTAGAGTGGGCGAAGGGTGCCTAACTTGCACTGAGGACAGGAAATAGCGGCTACCACTGCCAGAACTCAGTCCTTACCTCAGACCAGCCTCTGAGCCAAACCTAACTTTAACCCCACAGGTTAATTTAACCCTCATTATTATTAACTTAAGAAGCAACAGAGAGCTAACAACACTAAGTTTCCACAGTAACTGGAAAGTGTTAACAGGTTAGAAGCAGCTTACCCCAGTGCTGCTGGGCCCGGCTCTCCAGGAAGGGTCTCATCTGGATGAGGCGGGTGGCATAAATATGAGCATACTGTCTGCTAAAGCTGCGCTCTCCCAGTCGAAAAGGCTGTGAGGAGTTGGTATAAGTTGCCACAGGTACCCGGGCAAAGGTGGCATTGCTGGCTGATGGTGGGGAGAGCAGAGTGTGGGCCCTCTGTGCTGCCTGCTCTGAGAACATGGCAGCGTTCCTGGCTTGTTCTGTCCACGCCACTGTGTCCAGGCTAAGGAGCATCACTGTAAAGACACACAAAGTCACCCCTGCAACTCCTACTTGAACCCGAAGCAGGAGCTCCCCTGGTGTCTCAACCAAGCTGCCCACACTGCATCTGATGGGCACCGAGATATGTCTGGAGACAGCACCCTGTAGCCTTAGTCAGATAAAACCTGGAGCTCGAGCCAAACCCTGTTCATCTCCTCCATATTTCTACCCAGTTACCAGGGTCTCAAATTCGGCATACCCACAACAGAATTATTGATCTGCCTTCATTCACTTCCTTGGAAACTACCTTACTTCTGGGAATGCTGCCAAGCATCGTCAAAGAAGCTTACCACAGTATAATCTGGCTTACACTTCCACAGCACAGTCCATTACAGAGGGAGGTCAGGACAGAAACTCAAACAGAACAGGAACCTGGAGTCAGGAGCTGATGCAGAAGCCATGGAGAGGTGCTGTTTACTAACTTGCTCCTCATGGCTTACTCAGCATTTTTTTTTTTAATTTTTATTTTATATGCATTGGTGTTTTGTCTGCATGCATGTCTGTCTGAGGGTGTCAGATCCCCTGGAACTGGAACTACAGGCAGGTGTGAGCAGCCATGAGAATGCTAGGAATTGAACCTGGATCGCTGGAAGAGCAGCCAGTGCTCTTAACTTCTGAGTGCTCACCAACCATAAGACAATTAGTGATAAAAATAAAACGTAAAGCTGCCCCTGCTCTGCTCAAGACTCTCCAATAGCTGCTATTTTAGTAAACAAAGCCTCAAGTTCTTAACACTACCTGTAAGATCAGCTCTGTGCCCGCTGTTCCTCCCCTCCCACCTGTTTCTCCTTCCAAGTGTCCTTTCCACAGCAGGGGCTCCAGCAGAGGCCTGTCTACTCTCTGTTGGCTCTTCTCCTGTGCCCCACAGGTTCACTGGATCTTCCCCTTCAAGTCTTTCCTTAAAACTCACTTCCCCACACCTAATTTACTACATCTGCCACTCCAATTGTTTGCATCTCTCAAGCATTTACTTTGCCTCCTCCAAATGCACCCAAAGTTCCAGGGAGGCCGGTTTTTGTTATCTTCAAGGAGGTATTGCACAATTGTCCCACAACGAGTCCAATTAAGATGTGCTCCGGGGATGCACGGAGGATTTCAGTAAATAATAACGGCTGGTTAAACATTTTTCATGCGTAGGTTAAACGACAACAGTCTGGATGTAGTAAGTTTAGAACACAGCCTTCTTTTCATTTTACTTTTTTGGTACAGCTAATACAAAGTTCAAATTCTTCTTGCTGGCTCTGCTTTCTTTAATGTGCAGCTCTGGCGTAGGAAGCGAACTCAACGAATTTGCCAAAAGGGCGCGTGTGAATTCAATGTAAGCCGAACACGCAGTGGTGGGCAGCGGCCCACACGGTGCCCGCAGCCAGACACGACGGACGACCCGCCCCGCAGCAGGCGCCCCCAGCTCGGGCCTACGCAGCAGTCCGAAGCACCATCGAGACCCCAGCCCGTGGCCCCGGGAGCCCCCAGCCTGGCCCAGCACCCACATTAACCCCTCTCAGCAGCACACTCA